TTTTTTGTAAATTAAAAGATTTGCATTTGTTATGCCAGATGGAGAAGGGGCAAGTGTCCGAGAGCAGCTTGACTTCTGCTGCTGCTTTTGTGGAAGGTGGAATCCAAGAAGCATGTGATGATGCTTGTAGTATATGCCTCGAAGCTTTTTGTGATAGTGATCCTTCCACGGTACTTATAATGTTTGTTGTTATCTGGCAATTTCGAGTTGAGATTTCGCCTAATTTATCAGTTGATCAAAATTAATTATCGCAGGTGACGAGTTGCAAGCATGAATTTCATCTCCAATGCATTCTCGAGTGGTGAGAACAGAGAAAGCGTTTCACTTCCTCCTATGTTTTTTTTTTTTTATTGCATTTTATTATTTTCATTATATGATGATGTCTATATGCATGTGTGTTTGTGTTTGTGTGTTTATTTATTTTATTTTTGGAATGTATGTCATTATATTCAGATTACACATCAGTATGTAATAATAAAAACATATAATTATCAAATGCTCGAAAGCTGAAGATACTTGTATTGTCTTATCTGCTAGTACATTATGGTGCCCAACTATTACTATGCACTATAAAATTGATAAAGCTATGTAGCCATTTATAAGGTGCAATGAAGAGTTATATGCACAAGGTGAATATCATGTTACTAAAAGGGGAACGCTTATATGACTTGTGCATGAGTAGAGCTGTTCACGGTTTTGATATCAATTTTGATATCGCTCGTTAAGCTAAATGAACCGAGTTTGAGCTCAAATTAAAACTATAGTTCGACATAGCTAGTCATATTTTTAACAAATGTTATACTATTGTGTCAAAGTTAGGACCATATATTATTGGGTTTATTTAGTCTTGTGAAGTTTGATTGTGAACAAGCTACCTGGATAAGTTCCATATTGATGTCGTTAAAGACTAATTTTTGATAAATTCGGAACCCCAAGAAAACTGACTGTTTTTTTCCCTTTATTTTTGTCTTTTTAACCTTATATGCGTATTACTAACAATCTAAAGTTTTAGAATTGAGCATTTGTGTGATGATGAAGCAATTATTATTAATTATTAAGTTAAATCAAAACCGTAGGTGCCAGAGAAGCTCGCAGTGCCCTATGTGTTGGCAGTCCATCAGCTTGAAGGATCCAAGCAGGTAAGTTCTTAATCAATTTTTTCTTTCTAAGCTTTCACGTCAAAAGTTTTTACGGATTTTATTGTTGTGGGAATCTTCTTCTCTGCTTTGTCTTGCAGCCAAGAACTGCTCGATGCTGTTGAGCATGAGAGGAATATGCGTATGAATCCACCAAGAAATACCACTATATTTCACCATCCAACTCTTGGAGACTTTGAGTTGCAGCATGTTAGTGCTCCGTTATTTTTATGCTTGCCTTCTATTTTCATTATAGTGCGTTTGTGGGGTAAGTACAAATAATATTCCCCCTATATTTGGACTAAAAAGTTTTTGAAAATAAGAAATGCTCTTCCGCGCCATTGTTTTAGATAAAATTTCATTGTTTTTGCACTTTTAGCCCATCAGAAAGTTCTCTCACACTTGATTCAACTCGAATTAGTTTATTTTTTTTCTGTGTTCCAGTGATTATTGTGATGGGGGGTTTTCAAATAGGAGATTTTTGGCTCTATATCAAGAGAAGTGCAAAATCGATTATGATCAAGAGATTTTAATGCTGTTTTCTTATATATCAAACCGAGTATTGGTTTATTTGAGAAAGACAGTTCCACACAGTTTAGAAAAAACACAATCATTGATGTTTGGGAAAATTAAAAAAGAATTCAGTCGAAATTTATTGGTGCAGTTGCCGGTTAATGCAACGGAATCCGAACTCGAAGAAAGAATTATTCAGCACTTAGCGGCTGCTGCAGCAATGGGTCGGGCCCGCCAGCTGGCACGGAGGGTAGGGCCCCACAGGTCCTCGGCTCAAGCCCGTCCTCAGTTCTTGGTTTTCTCGACAAATACTAATGGAAATAATCCCTCTTCTGCCTCGGCCCGTACCCAAGAGAGAGAAGGGAGTTTTGGGCCTCCTGCTGTGAATTCTCCTTTGGTTATTTCAGGTGAAGATGCTTCACGGCCCGTCGGGCCACCTTCACCTGTCCAAACAGTGGCAAATGAACACGGAACTTCTTCTGGCTATAGGTAATTCATGTAGGATAAGCACAATTTGGAATATTTTACAAAAATAATTCTTGAGGTTTGATTTCGTGTTTACAATTTTTCCCCCAATCGATGGTTGGAATGGTTGGAGTATGAAAAATGCTGATTTTCATCAAATGTTTTACTACTACTCCTTCCTTAACGTTTTCTGAATACTTTTAAGTAGACCCAAGTTTTTGTTTGCAACAACCGGAGAAGTTTGATGGAAGTTTCTGATAAAATTAAATACTCGAGTTGGAGATACTTGTGATGTTAGAAAAATTGAGATACGTAAAAAAAATGTATAGAGTAGGTGTAAATATGCAAGACAGTTATATTTGTAGAGTGCCCCTTTTGTAATCATCCTGTTGGTTTACTAAGTAAAAAAGGAAGCAACTTTTTTCAGTGTACACACTCCTTATGATCAATCAAAGGGGTGAAATAGGTAATTTTGAAAGATAATTGGACCATTTTTGTAATAGGTTTAACGGAAATCATCAATTCGATCTTAAATTTGCCATTTTTTTGTAGGTCACCTATCCGGACTTCTCCCGGAGGTCAAGATAGAGCTGGGCCATCCGATCTTCAATCATTCTCCGATAATCTAAAATCACGTCTTAGTGCATTGTCAACGAGGTAAAAGGCAAAAAATTTGTGCTGCTTATTAATTGATCACTTATTTTGACTAAAGATGATAACTTTACTGAATTTGTTCAGTCTTTTTTAACAGAATTTGTGCTGCTTATTAATTGATCACTTATATTGACTACCAATCGGAGAACCCATTTGTCCACAAACAAAAAGAAGTAAAAAATAAAATAAAATTATAAAAGACTGGGGATAGGAAAACAGTGTTTATATGCTAAAGATGATAACTTCACTGAATTTTCTTCATTCTTTTTTCCAACAGATACAAAGAATCAATCACTAAGAGCACTAGGGGTTGGAAGGAGAGACTTTTTGCTCGAAATAACTCAACGCCCGAAATTCCCCTAACTACTGAAATTCGTCAAGATTCGGCTGGTCAAGGTGTTGCCACTGTGTCCCGAATGATGGATCATCTTGAAATAGCTGAAGTTGCTCGAGCTAGTAATGCTTCTGTGTCGATAAATCTCGAGGATAGCTCGAGTACAAATGCTACTGGACACCAAGCAATTGAGTCGAGCAATTTGAGTTTGAGTGAGGACACATCATCACAAGTTCCGAGTGCTGCCGCTAGTTCAGAATTACAGTGAGTTCTCAATTAAGCTGTCTTATTTGGGGATGCTTGCTTTTATTGGTAAGTGTTTTGTTTATTTATTATAAAAATTATCCATGAAATAGAGCCAAAGAAAAAGAAACTAAACACCTATTTTGAAGTGTTAGAAACACCTTGTTCAAATTTGTGTGAGGAATTATCGATGATCTTTTGCGATTTTGAATTGTCTGAAACTCAGTGGGGTGTGCTGACTCGGTTATTGTAATGAACCATTGTTTTTACTTTTTTAGATTTCTTGCAGAGCGAATCAGATATAAGATTTTGCTTTGTCTTTTGGACATTTTAAAGCTCCAACTGTTCGGTTTAAACTGACATTATTGCTCTACATGATGCTTCGTTGTAAGATCTATTAAAGATAATTGCGTTTACTTTCGATGCTGAAAAAAAAAATGAGGCATACACAGCAGTTTTTGGAACATTGCCTTTATTGAATTTATTCGAATTTTGATCAGTTATTAAAATTATTCTTGACCGATTGATTGCCTGTTGCTATCAGGTGAACTTCCGTCCAAAAACCGACGCTTTGCTGTTGATTGAGTCGAATATTTCATTTTCCGATGAGGGTTTCAATAAAGGAAAGTACTCCTTTTGGACATTGGGAAGAAATAGTTGTATGTAATGTAATCTGATACTTTTAGTCTTAAAATTCCATTTTCGGAGTTTTTTT